TTTACTGTATACCTGAAGTTATCACAACATTGTTAATCAATATATTGTTAACCAATATAAAATAAAAAGTTAAAAATGTTAAAATAATAAAAAAACAAGTATAAAAAAAGAAATTCGTATTTCTTTTAAGGTAGTCTGCTACCAACAAATTCTCTCAATGTTTACTTGCCTTTATTTCCTCTTCACATTTGAAAGATGTAAGATGCTTTGTTGATAGTCTTTTTCCTTTGGACAGTTTCAGTATGCTGTCCCTATTTGATGAGATGTCAACTCTTAATATTGTTGAGGATCTCCTTGTATGTGGTGAGTCATTTCTCTCTGACTACTTTCAATATTTTATCTTTGGCTTTTGGTATTTGGACTAAGGTGTGTCTGGGTGTGCATCTCTACATTTCTCCTACTTTCCTTGGAACCTGCCTCAATTTCATCATTTAAATCTTTAGGTGTGTGAATAATATGCTGAGATCAGTGGGTAACTGATGCATTTTGGATCATTAAGGTTGAATTCTATAGAGATTAAGTCATGAAACAGCTTATTAGAAAGTATTAGTGTGGATGCAAACTATGTCTGATTCAAATACCCTTCTATACTTGAGTAACATGAGTCATGTCTGCTGCTTACAAACCAAATGAGTGCTCTTCCATCCTGCTGACCATAAAAAAAAAAATCCATGTGGCTCTGGTGGATAGATTCCAGAACTAAGGCATCCTGGAAACCACCACGCTTTGAAGACTATAGGAAGACCACTCCCTGGACCTTTTAAATTTTATTTTCTTTATTATTTATTTTGACTGTGCTGGGTGCTCACTGCTGCGTGAGGGCTTTCTCTAGTTGCGACAAGCTGGGACTAGTCTTTGCTGCGGTGTGTGGGCTTCTTGGATGGCTTGTCGCGGAGCACAGGGTCTAGAGCACCGGCTCAGTAGCGGTGGCACATGGGCTTAGTTGCTCTGCGGCACATAGAATATTCCCACATCAGGGATCAAACCTGTGTGCCCTGCANGTGTGAGCTTTTTGAGTAATAAAGATATTACCCTTTATACCATGTTTGCACCAAATGTTTTTCCTGGAAAGCTCACTTTAAATGAAGGAGAATGTGTAACAATGTCTTGCTGCTGCTGCTAAGTCGCTTCAGTCGTGTCTGACTCCGTGTGACCCCATAGAAGGCAGCCTACCCGCAAGACGCAAAGTGGTGGTCATCACTACTGGTTTCCCCAGTTTTCTGGATGGTTGTCTGATACCAGAAGCATGCCAGCCCTGGCAGTCTCCAAGTGGTCACACCCTCCCTTTAATTTTCAGAGACCAGAGAAAGGCCATTTGGGGGAATCAATAAACTTTATTGAGTTTTAAGTAGATCCTGCATGCTCAGGTGCTTCTTTTGTGTCCAACTCTTTTCAAGTCCATGGACTGTAGCCCCCCAAGCTCCTCTGCCCATAGGATTCTCCAGGAAAGAATACTCGAGTGGGTTGCCATTTCCTCTTCTAGGGGATCTTCCTGACCTAGGATCAAACCCACATCTCCTGTGTCTCAGGCATTGGCAGGCAGATTCTATACCACTGAGCCGCCTGGGAAGCTCGAAGGAGATATTAAGTTCCAACAAACAATTAAACACATGGAAAGGCAGGGCTTCAATAGTTAATCTTTAATAGGGAGTTCAGAAAAATGCCATGACCAGATTAGTTACAAAACTTGCAGGGCCCAGTGCAAAATTAAAATGTGGGGCTTGTTATTTAAAAATTACTAAAAAATATTTCAAGATGGTGATAGCAAATGATTAAATCGAGTTAATTCACAAGTATCAGAACCTGTGTGATTGCACAAGCCAGACACCCAGGAAGCTAGTCTTGCTTCCCTCCTAACTTGCCTCAGGAAACCCCAATGTATCATTAAGAAGATGTTTGGCAATTGTTGCATGTGTGCATATCAGGTTTTTTTGCTTTTCACAACAGCAGTTTCTGGCAACGTTGTCATTTGCATACAACTTATCTTTCTAGCTCTAACATCTGGGATCTGGCGTGGTGCTAGTGGTAAAGAACCTGCCTGCCAGTGCAGGAGACATAAGAGACATGGGTTCAATCCCTGGGTCAGGAAGATCCCCTGGAGAAGGGCATGGCAACCCACTCCGGTATTCTTTCCTGGAGAATCTCATAGACAGAGGAGCCTGGCGGGCTACAGTTCATAGGGTGGCAAAGAGTCAGACATGACTTAAGTGACTTCGCACACACTTCTAGCTCTAACATCTAGAAATTACTCACCTTATATATTTCTCCCTTTGTACCCTCCTGTTGCTAAGGGTGAGTGAGTGCATGTGGGTGTGCAGAGTTGTGTCTGCCTCTCTGTGACCCCGTGGACTACAGCCTGCCAGACTCCTCTGTCCATGGGATTCTCCAGGCAAGAATACTGGAGTAGGTTGTCATTTCCTCCTCCAGGGGATCTTTCTGACCCAGGGATTAAACCCACATCCGCTGCCTCTTCTGCTTGACTGGTGGATTCTTTACCACTGAGCCAACTGTGAAGCCCACTAAGGGTGAGGGAGCAATTGTAATTCTATACTGGATGTATTTGCTAAAGATTAATTCCTCCAGCTGTTAACCAATCAATGAATATTTTTTAGTATATTTTACTGCACTATCCAATATGGTAGCATCAGTCACATATGGCTATTTAAATTAATTAAAATTGGATTAAATTAAAAAGCAGTTTTTGTTTTTTTTAATTTTTAGTTTACATAGCCTTGTTATAATGCTTACTAGCCACATGTGGCTAGTGTACATCACAATGGACAGCATATACAGAACATCTGTATCACTGTAGGAAATTGTACTGGACAGAGCTGGTCCACACATGCCAGTCAGGTGCTGGGAAACAAGGAGAAAGGAGAGATCCATCTTGCAGACTTCTGTATGGCTTTTCAGTGTTACTTGAAATTCCCTGCATGGCCTTTTGGAGTCCCTTGATGTGTCTCCAGAGTCAATCTCGATTACTCTGCATTTCATCAATGTTGGAGTGGCAAGTAAAAAGAGGGACTGATTTGAGGAGAAAAGCTTAGCTGTGCAATTCCTAGTTTTAATTTTTTTTCCAACTTGTGTTTATTTATGTTTTACTTTTATGTTCTGTTTCCTGATTTCTCAAAGCCTCATAATATTCCTTTTTGCCTTCCGAGAATTTGTCTTTTGATAGTTCTGTAATCAGAGGAAATGTGTTCTGATTCTTTAAAAAAATTTTTTTATTGGAGTACAGTTGCTTTACAATGTTGTGTTAGCTTCTGCTCTAGGCAAAGTGAATCAGTCATGAAGTGAAAACTGAAAGTGCTTGTCACTGAGTCATGTCTAAGTTCACCCCATTAGTTATGTTCACATCGTTGGTTATTAGGGAAATGGAAATCAAAGCAATGGTAAGACAATACTTCATACTCCTGGAAGGCTCTCATCCCAATGACAGATAATGCAAATATTGTCCAGAACATGGAGAAAAATTAAAGCCATCATTTATTATTGGTGGGAATGTAAAATGGTGCAGCCACTTTAGAAAACAGTATAGCAGTTCATCACATTGTTGAATATAGAGTTACCACATGACTTAACAATTTCACTCTTCAGTTTAGTTCAGTTCAGTCACTCAGTCTTGTCCGACTCTTTACGACCCCATAGACTGCAGCTCGCCAGGCTTCCCTGTCCTTCACTGACTCCTGGAGCTTGCTCAAACTTGTCCATTGAGTCAGTGATGCCATCCAACCATCTCATCCTCTGTTGTCCCTTTCTCCTTCTGCCTTCAGTCTTTCCCAGCATCATCAGGGTCTTCTCTAATGAGTCAGCTTTTCATATCAGGTGGCCAAAGTATTGGGAGCTTCAGCATCAGTCCTTCCAATGAATATTAAGGGTTAATTTCCTTTAGGATTGACTTATTGATCTCCTTGCAGTCCAAGGGACTCTCAAGAGGATCCTTCTCCAAGAATCTTCACCTAGGATGAGATGTGTGTATAAGTAAAATGAAAACATGCCAACATACTCATTCAATAATTTTCATAGTGGCATTTATAACAGCCAAAAAGTAGAAGCATCCTAAATGTCCAATATTGGATGAACAGATAAATATGTGACATATCCATGCAATGTAATATTATTTGGCAAGAGAAAGAAATGAAGTGCTGACATATGGTACAACATTGATGAACTTTGAGAACATCATGCTGTGTGAACACAAAAGACCACATATTGTATGTTTCCATTTATATAGAAAGTCCAGAATGGGCAATTCTATAGAGATAAAAAGTAGGTTAATAATTGCCTATGGCTGAGGGGGAATGGGATTGGGGAGAAATGAAGAAATACTGCTAATGGGTATGGGGTTTCTTTCTAGTGTGATGAAACTGTCCTAAAATTAGATGGTGGTGATGGTTGCCCAACTCTGTGAATACTATTAAAAACAATGAAATGTGCAGTTTTAAATGGGTGACTTTTATTATGTGTAAAATATATCTTGATGAGGATGTTAAAAAAAAAAAGAGTAAGCCAGTGCCTCGCATATGGTAAGCATTTACTAAATGTAAGCTGTGACATTTAAAACATGTGTCAAGCACACTTCTTTGGACAGTTTGCCACCTCTCTATAGTCGTGAAGTTGAGGGATGTGTCCAAATGATGGAAGGTCTGAGAACATGGGGAAAGGGAGGCAGAAAGAGGACTTCTGGCAAAGAAGCTACTTTGGGGCAGGGGAAGGAATGGGAATTCTTTGTGGGGCAGGTTGACTGTTCAAGGGGAAATGTCTACTGATGATTAATCAAAAAGAAATGAAGTTTATCCCCACAACAGGAGAACTTTGGACAAACAAATGAAAATCTTTCTACTGTGATAAGCAAACTGACAGTTTCCCTTCCTAATGAGTTTGAGAGTTGGTGAACTGATTGAATTATTATAACATCCTGTGTAGTGAAGGGGGACTTTAGAGAACAATGTTTAAGTAATTAAAAGAGTGATATGGTTATTATAAAAGGTCTCTTACAGGTGTCGTTGGAAGCAGTACCCTTCACAGCTCCCATCTCTCAGCGTCATCCTCATATTCATGGATGAAGCTCTGTCTGTCATCCAGCGAGCCATCACCAGCATCATCCAGCGGACCCCCCCTCAACTGTTAAAAGAGATCATCTTAGTGGATGATTTTAGCTCAAATGGTGAGCAACTTGATGAAGGAATAGTATAAAAATGACCGTATATGGATTGTGCTAGGATAAAGGGGTTTTAGCTTAGCTTCCCAAGGTGGCACTGTGGTAAAGAATCTGCCTGCCAATGTAGGAGATGCAGGTTCGATCCCTGAGTCAGGAAGTTCCCCTGGAGGAGGGCATGGCAACCCACTCCAGTATTCTTGCTGGGAGAATCTCATGGACAGAGGGGCCTGGAGGACAACAGTCCAGAGGGTTGCAAAGAGTCAGACACTGCTGAGCATGCACACACGTACACACACACACGCATGAAGACAGGAAGTTGGGTTTCTCATGGAGGGAAAAGAAAGGGACTGTTTATTGACTGTGCAGGGCACATTAATCTTCCCATAGTAGAGATAGGGGGTGAGGATGATCCTCTTGGTCCCACAGAAGAAGAAACGAAGACAGAGAGGTCACACAATGTGCTCCAATCATGTGGTCGATCTGCAGTCAGTCAGGCCCATGCACCATGAGGGAGACGGTAGGGAGAGAGGCGGGTCCAAAGGAAAACCTCAGATACCAGGGAGAGATTCAGAATCATCCCCTAGCAGGAAACCCCAATCTTCCTGGGTATTTAAGCCTGGAGAGAAGGGAGCTCTGGGTGCTGAGACTCTCCACAGTGGCTGGGTCTCTTGCTCAGGCCCTGCCCTCTCCCCCAGCCTGGTCCAGTCCTCACTGAGATGACACCGGGAGAAGTGGAAGGCAGTGCACTTGAGTCTTCACTTTACAGACTCTCAGTTCCACCCTTACAAGCTCTGTGCCTTGAGTGACTTACTTCTCCACTAGCTTCCTCATCTGCAAAGCACGGATGTTGAGAATAATCATGATTTCATGGACTAGAGTGAGAATTACAGAGGTAGTGATAGCAGTTAACACTATTCATTCTAAATACCTTATGTTCGTTAACTATTTGAAGCCAAAGAAAGTTCTAGGCTGTTCCAGACCCTATGTATAACACATCCTGCTCACTTGGGTCAGGAACCCGTTTGTGTCTTCCACGGAGATAATTTGTTTGGGAGGNAGTGATAGCAGTTAACACTATTCATTCTAAATACCTTATGTTCGTTAACTATTTGAAGCCAAAGAAAGTTCTAGGCTGTTCCAGACCCTATGTATAACACATCCTGCTCACTTGGGTCAGGAACCCGTTTGTGTCTTCCACGGAGATAATTTGTTTGGGAGGGCATGGCAGAGGGAACTGTTGGTCATTCTTTGACTCACGTCATTGGGGCAGCAATCACCTTCTCTCTCAGTAACCATGGAAACAGCAGCCAGTTTGAGCCTGCACTGAATTATGTATTGTATTAAAACCTTTTTTGTGTGTGTTAAATTGAAGAAAATGATCAGATGTCTCTACCATGTCAGCCACAGGAGAAGCTTACTACTCATGTGACTTTAGGTGGTGGCGAGTCTCTCAGTTACTTCATGTCTCCAGTGTCGCCATCTGTAAAATAATAGTGCTTCCTCACAGGGCTGTTTGGGAATTAACACATATAGAGTCCTTGTCCCTAATAAATGTTAGCTAGCGTAATTCTCCTTGTTTTCACCATCAATGGTAGTAAGATTGAAATGCTACACATTGACATGAGAGGTGTACCCACTTCCTTTGTCCCCTCTAGATATGAAGCTTCATTTGCATCAAGTCAAATATTTCAAAGGTCAACAAGGGGTCCAACAACTTGGATTTAATCCAAATTTTTAAAAATTGATAGGAATGCATAGACATATTTTTTTAAAACAGAGGAGAGAGAGAAGAAGAAACTGTGAACAATGTGGAATAGTGAATCTTGTTTGCATTATTTTGGAGATTGTTGTTCAATCATTCAGGTGTGTTTGACTCTTTGTGATACCATGGACTCAGCACGCCAGGCTTCCCTGTCCATCACAATTTCCTGGAGCTTGCTCAACCTCAAGTCCATTGAGTTGGTGATGCCATCCAACCATCTCATCCTCTGTCATCCCCTTCTCTTCCTGTGTTCAATCTTTCCCAGCATTAGAGTCTTTTCCAATTAGTTAGTTCTTTGCATCAGGTGGCCAAAATATTGGAGCTTCAGCTTCAGCATCAGTCTTTCTAATGAATATTCAGGGTTGACCTCCCTTAGGGTTGACTGGTTTGATCTCCTTGCAGTCTAAGGGACTCTCAAGAGTCTTCTCCACCATCACAGTTCAAAAGCATTAATTCTTTGGCACTCAGCCTTCTTTATTTTGGGGATAAACTTATTAGATAGAAGCTGAAAAGCAGATTTCATCTGGGCATTCCATCCCAGTTGAGCCTGAGAATGTCAAGTAGGAATATCTAAAAGAAAATGAAACAATTTCCATTGTTTATGTGCTCTCCAGAAAATCTTAAGAGGTTAGCTGTGGAGATGATGTTCCAGGCTGTATCTGCAATGTCTGTCCATCAGCAACACTACCTTAGTTAGGTCAGGCATGTCCCACTCATTTTTTAAAAACTTTTATTGGCGTATACAATGTTGTATTGGTTCCTACTGTACAGGAAAGTCAATGAGCTATATCTCCTCTTTTTTGGATTTTTTTCCCATTTAGATCACTGCAGAGCTCTGAATTCCCTGACCCAGGGATTGAACCCACATCTCCAGACTGGTTTGATCTCCTTGCAGTCTAAGGGACTCTCAAGAGTCTTCTCCATCATCACAGTTCAAAAGCATTAATTCTTTGGCACTCAGCCTTCTTTATTTTGGGGATAAACTTATTAGATAGAAGCTGAAAAGCAGATTTAATCTGGGCATTCCATCCCAGTTGAGCCTGAGAAGGTCAAGTAGGAATATCTAAAAGAAAATGAAACAATTTCCATTGTTTATGTGCTCTCCAGAAAATCTTGATAGGTTAGCTGTGGAGATGATGTTCCAGGCTGTATCAGCAATGTCTGTCCATCAGCAACCCTACCTTAGTTAGGTCAGGCATGTCCCATTCATTTTTTAAAAACTTTTATTGGCGTATACAATGTTGTATTGGTTCCTACTGTACAGGAAAGTAAATGAGCTATATCTCCTCTTTTTTGGATTTTTTTCCCATTTAGATCACTGCAGAGCTCTGAATTCCCTGACCCAGGGATTGAACTCATGTCTCCTGCATTGTAGGCAAATTCCTTACTGTTTGAGCCACCAGGGAAACCCCAGGTTCTCGTTAGTTATCTATTTTATACATAGTGTTATGGTATACATATGTCAATCCCAATCTCCCAGTTCATCTCACCCGCACTGTCTCTCCTTGGTGTCCATGTTTCTTCTCTACATCTGTGTCTCTATTTCTATTTTGTAAGTAAGATCATCCATATCATTTTTCTAGATTCCACATTATGTGTTAATATGATATTTATTTTTCTATTTCTGACTTACTTCATTCTGTGTAACAGTCTCTAGATCCATCCATGTCTCTGCAAATGACACAACTTCATTCTTTTTTATGACTGAGTAATATTCCATTGTATATATGTGCCACATTTCTTTATCCATTCCTGTTGATGGACGTTTAGGTCACTTCCAAGTCCTGGCTATTGTAAATAGTGCTACAATGAACATTGGAGTGCATGTGTCTTTTCAAATTATGGTTTTCTCTGGTCCCACTGATTCTTATAATAATTTCTCAATACACTTAAAGTACCTATAACAGTGCCTGACACAGCAGTTTTATTACGCTAAGATAGTTTAACCTCAAGAAAAAGATTGGGAATGGGAACATAAATTCTGAGGATGGAAGGCAGAGGAGAAGCCAGTATAGGGGAAAGACTATTTTCTCAGTCAAGGCTGTAGAATTGCCCACCCTATGCAGGGTAATCCAACCATTACAATATCCCAGTATAAAAGTTCTGCACTGTGCTGATTATTGCACTCAGAATTTCTATAGGTGTGCCTTTGGTTGGCAGGAGAATTAAAGGCAGACTTGGATGAGAAGATTAAGCTTTACAACCAGAAGTCTCCAGGACTCCTGAAGATAATACGGCATACCAAGAGAAGAGGTCTGGCTGCAGCTCGCAACACCGGCAGGGAGGTGGCCACGGCCGATGTGGTTGCCATCTTGGATGCTCACATTGAAGTGAATGTTGGGTGGTAAGGCTCCAGGGGCTCGTTGTGGGGAAGGGGAGAGAGAAGAAATTGTACGTACAATGAGTAGAGACGGGATATTGTGGAAGTAGGGAAAGTCAATACCAGAACTTAAGAAAAGGGAAGCTCCAAAAACTGTATATTTTTATTCAAGGACTGTGGTTGGCTACAGGAAGTAGTCTAGAGAAAAAACGATAGGCTTGGAGTATTGACAACTGGATACCAACCCTGACTATGACAGATATTTTGTGACTTTGAATGAGTCACAACTTAGGGCTTTCCTGGTGGCTCAGCAGTAAAGAATCCACCTGCCAATACTTGAGATGCAGGTTCAACCCCTGGGCTGGAGTAGGAAATGGAAACACGCTCTAGTATTCTTCCCTGAGTCCCCAAGGACAGAGGAGCCTGGAGGGTTACAGTCCATGGGGTTGAAAAAGAGTTGGACATGACTTAGCAGCTAAACAAACAGATTACTTTATCTGTGAAATGAAGAGACTCAGTTCAGTTCACTCAGTCATGTCCAACTCTTTGTGACCCCATGGACTGCAGCATGCCAAGCTTTCTTGTCCATCACCAATGCCCAGAGCTTGCTCAAACTCATGTCCATTGAGTCGGTGATGCCATCCAACCATCTCATCCTCTGTTGTCCCCTTCTCCTCCTGCCTTCAATCTTTCCCAGCAACAGGGTCTTTTCCAATGAATCAGCTCTTCACATCAGGTGGCCAAAGTATTGGAGCTTCAGCATCAGTCTTTCCAATGAGTATTCAGAATTGATTTCCTTTAGGATTGACTGGTTTGATCTCCGTGCAGTCCAAGGGACTCTCAAGAGTCTTCTCCAGCACCACAGTTCAAAAGCACCAATTCTTCAGCACTCAGCTTTCTTTATGGTCCAACTCTCACATCCATACATGAAGAGACTACCTTTTGGTAATTCTTAAGGTTTTCCCATGAAGTTACATGATACGAAGAGCTGTGTTATTCAAAGAATGTGGGGAATCAGATAGTAAAGAGGTGTCATTTTAGAAGCAGGGAGACCCAAGAAATAAAGCAAATTCAGGTAGATACTGATAGCACTGCTCACAGTGGCTTAGGGTTGGTACTTGGGTACCCCAGTTTCAAATGTGCTCTTGTCTGGAATCAGCTGCCAGCAGCCCCAGCTATTCCTCAAACCTGCAGATTCTCTGGACTCTGGAGAGTTCTGCCCACTAGCCAGCGTGGCCTGAGTGAAGAAGGTGCTCAGGGTCAGGACAAGGGGATGGGATGGAGCAGCTTTGTCTGCTCGCTTTGGCTGTTATCCTCAAATCCCACCTGAGTCTGTTGCACACCCTTCTTGCAGGGCAGAGCCCATCTTGGCTCGGATTCAGGAAGACCGCACTGTGATTGTGTCTCCCGTGTTTGACAACATTCTTTTTGACACCTTTGAACTGATTCAGTATGCATTGGCAGTTGACGGGTTTGACTGGGAACTCTGGTGCCGCTATGATGCACTGCCGAAAGCCTGGGTTGATCTCCATGATGTTACTGCTCCTGTGAGGTCAGTCTGCATGAGCTCGGGAAACTTGATTAGTCCGGGGAAAGTCAGGGATGGACAGTCTGGGCTTTGTTTGTCTTTGGTGGTAGTCTAAGAAGTGGGGTGAGAGGAGTAGAGGAGTTGGGGTGAAGGACAGGGAATAGAGAGAAAAAGCAGATCTCATAACCGACAAGGACCTCGTGTAGAGCACATGGAACTCTGCTCCATGTTATGTGGCAGCCTGGATGGGAGGGGAGTTTGGGGGAGAATGGATACATGTCTATGTATGGCTGAGTCCCTCCACTGGTCACGGGAAGCTATCACAACGTTATTAATTGACCATACCCCAATACAAAATTAAAAGTTAAACAAAGAAAGATTGAAGGCGAGAGGAGAAGGGGACGACAGAGGATGAGATGGTTGGATGGCATCACTGACTCAATGGACATGAGTTTGAGTAAATTCCGGGAGCTGGTGATGGACAGGGAGGCCTGTTGTGCTGCAGTCCATGGGGTCGCAAAGAGTCAGACACAACTGAGTGACTGAAATGAACCGAACTGTGGTTTCATATGAATTTTAGGAGTGATCATTCTACTTCCGTTAAAACAAAACTGACATTGGCATATTGGTACGAATTGCATTATCGATGGTTTTGGTTGTATTATTAACATTTTAACATCTGAATTTATAGATGGCTTTTGGCAGTATTATTAACATTTTAATTCTTCTTTTATTCTTCCAAACCACCACCACCACAACACAATATACCATTCCACTTACTAGTGTCTTCTTTGCTTTCTTTGTAGTTTTCAGAGTAAAGATCTTTTACTTCCTTGGTTAAATTTATTCATAAATATTTAATTATTTTTAATGCTATTATAAATGGGATCAATTTCTTTTTCAGAAAATTTTCTGTTAGTATATATAAATACACTTATTACTGTATATTAATTTTGTATTCTGCAACTTTACTAAATGTATTGATTATATCTCAAAAAAAAAAAAGAGCTGATCCCAGAAAGGAAATATCAGATACTTTGGCTATTTAAGGAATTTTAAGCAAAATAAAGCAAAGTGTATAATGTCTTAGAAAACACTTCAGCCCCTTTAAGCATTTATCAGGCTATGAAGTAGGGATACCAAGATGGATTTCAATGTAATCTGAGATGGGAAGGCTCCATGCTCTTAGTTCAGCCTGAAGGTTTAGGGAAAGCCTTCAGGATAAGAAGAAGCTTGGGTAGAGAGAGTTTCAAAGGCTACATCATCACTGAACTTCCTACCCATCACCTTCATCCTGACATTCCGCATCCAGGGTAAGTGACTCTCTTGCCATGTGCTCCACAGAAGTCCTTCCATCATGGGCATCCTGGCTGCCAACAGGCTCTTCTTGGAAGAAATTGGCTCTCTGGATGGTGGGATGCTGACCTATGGAGGAGAGAATGTGGAACTTAGCCTGAGGGTAGGTACGTTTCCATTCTCATTATGGGACAGAGCAGAAGGGTAAGGTAGAGGATCTCTGGAACATTGGAACAAGGATGGATGCCACTGGCTCATGAGGTGAACAAATTCTCATGTTTCCAGGTCACTAGGGAGAGGCTGTGGAACTTCTAGAGTGGAGCTTCTTGGTATAGGTCTGTATAGTCTGGGAGATATTGCTGGGAAGATGGTGTCCCTATTTCCCTGAGGACTTCAGGCATTTTCCAAGCATCTCCTGAGATACACCAACTTTGGGGCGGGTGGTTCTCTGCAAGAACAGTCAGACAGAAACTGCAATGGGCAGAGGGACCCGCTGATAAAGATGTGTGGGCTGCCAATCTGTCCCCCTATGGACAGCCAATCTGTCCCCCTATGGACAGCCAAAGCAGCTGAGAGGATGACATGAGTTCATGTCCATTTTCTTCCATGATCTGTTGCCCAGTTTTGTTGCTGTTTAGTTCCTAAGCTGTGTCCAACTCTTTTGCGATTCCATGGACTGTAGCAACTGAACACTCGAGTGGACTGTAGCCCTTCTGGATCTTCTGTCCATGGAATTTTCCCAGGCAAGAATCCTGGGATGTGTTGCCATTTTCTTCTTCAGGAGATCTTCCTGACCCAGGGATCGAACCCTCATCTCCTCCACTGCAGGCAATTCTTTACCCTTGAGTCACCAGGGAAGCCCCAGTTTATTTCCCTCCTAAGGATGACAGTGCAGTTCAAACATGATAAATAACTTGAAATGATTTATAAACGTTTGAGAATTAGAATCCTTGTTTGATTTCTGTGACAGAGGCCAAAATAACAGAGGTTTAAATGATATAGAAACTAATTCCTGTAATAGTTTGAACATGAGCAGTTCAGGATTCAGACTACAGTTCCAGTCTTCCCTGGTAGCTCAGCGGTGAAGGATCTACCTACAACCCAGGAGACCGCCTGCAATGCAGGAGACGTGGGTTTGATCCCTGGGTTGGGAAGATCCCCTGGAGTAGGAAGTGGCAACCTGCTCCAGTATTCTTGCCTGGAAAATCCTATGGACAGAGGAGCCTGGCTGGCTACAGTCCATGGGGTCACATGACTTGGACATGACTTAGTGACTAAATTACCACCAGCAGGGTGTTGGGAACCAAGCCTCTTCCATCTCATTGTTCTGATACACCCAACACCACATCTGTATTCTCATCGGTATGAAGAGAACAGCTTTTCAGGTGGCTCAGTGATAAAGAACCCGCCTGCCGAAGCAGGAGATGTAAGAGATGCGGATTTAATCCCTGGGTCAGGATGATTCCCTGGAGGAGGGCATGGCAACCCACTCCACTCATTCCAAGCTCCTTTGTCCATGGACTTCTCCAGGCAAAAATACTAGAGTGAGTTGCCGTACCCTCTGAAGGGTCATTCTTCCCTTTTCTTGATAAAACAGTTTACCGGTATCCAGCTTCTGTGGTTTGCACACGTGGCCATTTGTCCTTTCAAACCTCTAAGCATTTGCTAGGATGAACATTTCTCTAGGAACAGACCTTGGAGAACATCAGAGTTGCATGTGATGTTTTATTCTGACACCTAGAGGCCACGGCACTGATGGTGCACCTGGATGTGTATAAATACAGATGGAGTTTTGGTCTGATGGGAGAGAAAGTACTCCCACCCTGGTTCAGCACCTTGTGTATCTCTGGCGCTGTGCCAGAGCATCACAGAATCCTTCTGTCATTTCTTAGCTGGTAAGGATGGGCCCGTTACCTTAATGGGAATAATCATGATACCTACATGGTGAAGGCTAACTTCCTGAAAAAAGTCAGGATGGTTTGTGATGCAAAATAAGCCATTGCTACTATAATCAGGAACTTCCTGTTTCTTTTCGTGTGTTTCAGAGAAAGAGGGAGGGAATGAAGGATGGGTGGGTGGGGGGACATCTGGCAAGTGGGAATAAATTGAGAGAGAAAAATCTGAAAGCTGTTGGTCTAAGATAACCCATCCCAAGGTATTTAACTGAGCCACTGGACCTGAGATGGTCAGGGATTTGCAGACATGAGTGTGGTAAGTTGCTAATCACTGTTGGAAGGGCTTCCTTGCTGGCTTCCTTGCTGGCTCCTCCTGCAATGCGGGAGACCTGTGTACAATCCTTGGATCGGGAAGATCCCCTGGAGGAGGGCATGGCAACCCACTCCAGTATTCTTGCCTGAATCCCCATGGACAGAGGTGCCTGGCAGTCTGCAGTCCATGGAGTCGCAAAGAGTTGGACATGACTGAGCATAACAGCTGGACAGGCTAGTATTTCCCAGAAAATGCAACTCGCTTGGAAGAGAACACACTGGAGCCATTCTATCAATTTAACATCACTAGATGCAGCATCTACAAGGATGAAGTGGTAGATCTACTTGCTACTACTTCTATCATCTACTGGGACAAAGACCAAATTTTTAAATATTTTAAGCCACATGTTAGAATGACTAGTATGTGTGTATCCATCAGGATAGCAAGGAAGAATGTTTATGAATGTTTATGACTAGACCATGATCAAGTCGGGGTGTCTCTTGGCCAAGAATTACCTGTGGTAACTAAGTAAGTAAGTAAGTAAGTGAAGTTGCTCAGTCGTGTCCGACTCTTTGCGACCCCATGGACTGTAGCCCACCAGGCTCCTCTGTCCATGGTAATCTCCAGGCAAGAATACTGGAGTGGGTTGCCATTGCCTTCTCCAGGGGATCTTCCTGACCCAGGGATTGAACCCAGGTCTCCTGCATTGCAGGCAGAGGCTTTAACCTCTGAGCCAAGTAGTAGCTATCAATTGTAGTGTAACAAAATTATCACAAACTTAGTGGATCAAAGCAAAATCCAGTGATTATCTCACAGTTCCTGTGGGTCGGAGCCCATGCCTGGTGGGATTTCTGGAGCTCCTGAGCGACGGGAGAAGCAGTTTGTTTTCAATGAATAGGTTGGGAGGCTCATAGAAACAGGTAGAAAGACTGAATCTACACTCTATTAAAAAAATTTTTTTTTTAACGTGGACCATTTTTAAAGTCTTTATTGAACTTTTTACAATATTGCTTCTGGTTTATGGTCTGGTTTTTTGGTCACCAGGCATGTGGGATCTTAGTTCCCCGACCAGGGATCAAACCCTCACCCCCTGCAGTGAAAGCGCGGAGGCTTAACCACTGGACTGCCGGGGAGGTCCCTACACTCTTTAAAAAGTGATTCCGAAGAGTGGTGTCCCTGTCAACAGGCTGTGCTCTTCACGGCGGTGCCCAGCTTGCCCGGGTGATTCTGTTTTTCCTCCCCTTGCAGGTGTGGCAGTGTGGAGGCAGCATTGAGGTCTTGCCCTGCTCCCGAGTTGCCCACCTGGAGAGACACCACAAGCCCTACTCCTTGGATCTGAGAATCCCTTTGAAGCGGAACGCCCTGAGAGTGGCTGAAATCTGGATGGACGAGTACAAAGACATGGTCTACATGGCCTGGAACATCCCGCTGCAGGTTCGTCCTGGATGGGGCAGAAGCTGAGAAGGATGGAGGAGGAGGAAGGGGTGGTGGTCCCGGCGGGAATGGGAAGGGACAAGAGTCCAAGCTTGGTCTGCTTGCTGCACCACGAGCCAATGAATCCAAGAGATGAGGTGTTGAGGCAAAGAATATGACTGTTCGCCAGAAGATGGCAAAGGAATGTCTCAAAATAGCCATCTTATGGGGTCTGGATGTCCTGTTCTTTTATAGATCAGAGATGGAGGGGAGAACGGTGAAGAAACAAAGTAAAAAGGCCATTAATCTTGCAAACATCTCCTAGGAGGCGAGCATTAGGCAAGGGGGTGTGTTAATTTCTTCCTTCCTGCCATCCACAGGTGGACAGGGTTCTGAACAAAGGCACTTTAAGAGTCAGGCAGAGGGGCAGGATTCTCTGAGGCAGCCCGGTATGATTATAACGAAAGCAACAGAAAGCAAGTCAAAGAAGCAGTTTCAGCCTGGAGTCAGAATTGGCTTCTCTCTGCAACAGGGCCACCCCAGCCCTAAAGACCTGAAGTCCTGTCCTCACAGTGTGAGGACAATGGCATTAGCATTTGTGTCCCAGGACTAAGTTTCCGGCACACAAGACTCATCACCATGTAGCTCTGGCATAAGGTTGATTTTTTATTATTCTAAGTTTACCAATTTAGAAGAAACAGACACACAGAGAAGGGAAGGGGAAAAGCTGTTTAAGGTAATAATGTCCTAAGAGCAGAGGTAGGACTCAAACCAAGGAAACTTCTAGATTCTGTGCCCTTCATCCGTCATCTATACTGGGGGATTCCTTGTGGGGCAGGAGTGGGCAAGGATTCACTGTCTTAAGAGGACTTGAATACAGGAGTGGGGTGAGGGATGGTGGTAGCAGGCACTGTATTTCTACTGGACGCATGTGAGCAAGGATAACCTCCTTGGCTAAGGTCACATCGATGGCCTTAGTTCCTGAGGCTGATATGACATGCTGTCTTTGTCCCTGAGCTGCGGCTCTGGGTTCAAGCATCCTTCCACTTTGATTCCCCACAGATACCACTTCTAGGATGTCTCCTTTAACCTCCCAGGCTTGCTGCCAGAATGCTCCTTTTGGAAGCCTTTCCTGGCCATGATGAGAACCATTTTGTGCCTGGTTGACGTGAATATCATCTCAAACAGGAGCAGTCTGCATCAGCTTGCTACTGATGAGACATAAACCTGGATATGCAGGCCTCAAAAGTGCCTCTGAGACCAGCAGAAATTCCTAGGAGTCAAGCTTCTTCCAATTTCCCTGGAAAACTATACATGATAAAGGTTATCTTACAGGGAATCAGGAAAATATTTGCTTCCATCCTGCACTGTCTGTTTCCCTGATGCCTCAGTTGTAAAGAACTTGCCAGCCAATGCAGGAGACACAGGTTCGATTCCTGGGTCAGGAAGATCCCCTGGAGGAGGAAATGGCAACCCACTCCAGTATTCTTGCCTGGAGAATCCCACGGACAGAGGAGCCTGGCGGGCTACAGTCCATGGGGTTGCACAGAGTCAGACACATCTGAGCACGCTCCTGTGGTGGAGTCCAGGGTGTTACAGGGTACAGCCATGTTCCATGTTTTCTTTGCAGAACTCCGGAATCGATTTTGGAGACATTTCTTCCAGAATGGCACTCCGGAAGAAACTGAAATGCAAAACTTTTGACTGGTATCTGAAAAATGTTTATCCTCTTCTGAAACCAGTCCGCAGCGTTGTGGCCTATGGAAGAGTATGTTTTATGAAACTTCATTGCAGGTTTTAAACATTTGCCTGTAAAAGATGAAGAGATCTCAGTCTCAGGACTTTCCAGACAAGGGTTTTCAAAACCCACTCCCCCCGCCCCCATTCTCTTCCTTCCCCCAACTCTCTCCTCCAACCTCTTGGTTTTCTTTCCTCTCTGTCCCCAGCCTCCATCTTTTCCTTCTCTCTGCCTCTGGTTCCTTACTTTGCAAACATCAGCCCTTGCTTGGACCCTCATGGTTCTTCGGCCCACCGGGGTGTGTGGCCTCACCCCCCTGAATGTGGGTGTAGGAGTCCTTCCTTTGCCTGTGCTATAATGGTCTGAGGAGTGGGTGTTCCTGTTGTAGCCACGTGTTCTGGGAAACAAACTCACCCAGGACAATGCAGATAGTGGAGTGCAGTTTATTACACCAGCGGGCCCAAGGCAGAGTCTCCTCTTAGCCAAGGACCCCGACCAGTTTTTGTGAAAACCTTATATACCCTAAGTGTAGGTGCTCAAACCCCCCTCCCCAAATTCTCTGAAACTAGTCTGAACAAAGGGAAAAAAAGATACAATCAAATTTAACCCGTGTTCGTATGCCTTAAGCCTAGGTAGTTAACAGTGGACAATTATCAATAGGCCTGTGGTCATATCCCAATAAGCATAATAGAATTTATGATTCTATTTGGTTACACAGATAATTAGGGTATTCTTTTAGGCAATGGGGAGTCTAGGTACAAGCCCTCGGGCTCCTCCATCTGGTGGGGGGGGGTCTGGTTTTCCAGTTGATATGTTGTTTCCATAGATACTGGAAATACTGGCATATAGCTCATATATATACTGGGCATATAGCTCAAAGTCCACAGTCCAGCCCAAGATGTAGTCCTGCTTTCAGGATGGAGCCTGTTTTGTCTCTTTCCTCCTTCATTCCCAGGAAGCGCACCACAGCAGAGTTTCGCTTCGGCATTTGTCTAGTGCTTAGAAAGTGGCTGCCAGGATCTCAAACCCTTGCCCCTTTTGGGTACCCTTGGAGTACTGGCAAAGATGCAGGGACCTGGGAGGGTCGGGGAACCTCCTTCTCTGCCTCTTTCCAACTGTGTTGCCACGTGTTTTGCTCCCTCAGATGAAAAACACGTTGGATGAACGCGTCTGCCTGGACCAGGGAGCTGTTCCAGGCAACACTCCCATCATGCATCACTGCCATCAATACAGTTCCCAGGTATCGTCCTGCTCCAGCCCCCCGGTCAGTCTGTTGTGGCTCAGCCCCTGGCAGGTTTGGACTTGGTGTCAGGTGATGGGGAGACAGGAGCTGAGCAGCCTGGGTAATGGGTCAAGGAGAAGCCCAAACTTGTGCTTGTAACTCAGCCCTTCTGAGCTCACCTGAGAGGTCATTCCATGTCAGGTACAGGAAGGGTGGGTAGAAAGGCTGCACTCTCTATGGTAATACCTTCATTGAAAACGACCCCCAATCCCTTCCTTTCCTCCTCCTCCCCCGCCCCTTCCATCCTCGCACTGCCACCTTGTATGCCTTGGAAGGTGGACAGGCGATGCTCCCTGTGGCTTCTTGCAGAGAGAAGGGAACAGGGGGCTAGGGAAGAGAGAAGCTGAATGGAAGCCCCTCCACGGGGTAGGAGCGATCAGGGACCACGTGGAGGGTGCCCCCAGGGGGCTTTTTCCAGCTGTCGTGTGACTTTGCATGTTGCCCTCATGGGGAATCTTTTGAGGTCTGCAGGGTAGACAGCATTAAAAAGAAAAAAAAAAAGCGAAGACACGAAAACAACCAATTTTTCCAAGTTCACAGAGCAAGCCAGGGAGTGAGTGAGCGTTTGAAAGGTTTTCTGACAAGTCCTTAACTGGGGTTTATAATGACAGCTTCTGAAGTTGAGTTGTATTGTTTCTGTTTTCCAAGGTAAGCTCCCTTGCCCAGTAGGAAATGATTCTATTGGAGCCCTCGTGTGGAAGGAAGCAGGCTAGTGTCTTTTTGTCATGCCTGGTCTTCTTTCTCGAATCAGCTGGGGATGGGGAAGGGAGCAGAGGAGACTCTTTGTTACCCAGGAATGCTCAAGGATTCCTCCATGGTGACTGGATGTCTAAGGGACCCAAGAGCAGTCCTTATGTCCTCTGTGAGGTCAAGGGCATCCCTGACTGAGGGTCCATGGCAGATCCCTTTGTTCTCTTGTAGAACGCCTACTATCACCTAACTGGGGAACTCTATGTAGGACCACTGATTGCACAGAGAGACGCTGATGATCGCTGCCTGACAGACCCCGGCAAAGGGGAGAAGCCGACGTTAGAGCCATGTTCCAAGGCGGTCAAAGATAGACTGAACATACACTGGGATTTTAAACCGGTGAGTCACATGCTTCTGTTTCTTTTTTAAGATAGATATATTAATGTATAGCCTGAGAGTTGGACCATAAAGAAGGCTGAGCGCTGAAGAATATATACTTTCGAATTGTGGTGCTGGAGAAGACTCCTGAGAGTCCCTTGGATTGCAAGGAGATCAAACCAGTCAACTCTAAAGGAAATCAACCCTGAATATTCATTGGAAGAACTGATGCTGAAGTTGAAACTCCAATACTTTGGCCACCTGATGCAAAGAGCTGACTCATTGGAAAAGACCCTGATGCTGGGAAAGATTGAGGTTAAGAGAAGAAGAAGGCACCAGAGGATGAGATGGTTAGGTGGCATCACTGACTCAATGGACATAAATTTGAGCAAACTCTGGGAGATAGTGGAGGACAGAGGAGCCTGACATGTTTCAGTCCGTAGAGTTGCAACAAAAACAACAAGGATGAAAAACAAAATAGTCTGAGGAGTTCAGATTTGATCTGGTAGTGTTTTTGAAAGATTAATTTTGAGGCAGTGTGTAGGGAAAAGCCTAGAAATTTTTCTAGTCTGAGCATGAAACCTGGGGCATAAAATACTGAGTGTGTTGACCCAAGTTGGGTGGCCAAGGTAAAAAATATTGGAATCTGTTTTAACTTAATTCAGAGTTTGCCTTCTAATCCCAGTTCGGTCTTCTTTAGCTATTCTCTTTATCTTTTTTTTGAGACTCAGTTTTTTCATCTTAATGAAACCTGTGGAGATGACTTAATGAGATAATGTGTATAAAGCAATTATCATGGTGCATGGCTCATAGAAAGTGTTCAACAATATTAGCTTTTGTGGTTATCGGAGAGTCTGACACATTGGGCTGCAAATCACAGGAGCTGATGTAAAAGCGTTGATTTAACATCATCAGTTGACTAAGAACAGGGTAGAGGGAATCTTGCAGAAGTCACGTGACACTGGCATGAGTGATATGGCTGACCACAGTCCGCATGTGAATTTACTATGTGATAAAGGCTATGTTCTTAAGCCACATTGGCAGGAATGAGATGTCCTGAGGGAGAAGGGTAGGTGATGCTTTGTGAGAATATCTTTGAGCATCTTGGTGCTGTGTTAGGTTGGGTTCATATTTTAAGAGACATGGACTTATCTAACAATAAATCTTAAAGCTAATAACCCCTTAAACATGGCTGAGCAACTGAACTGAACTGAAGGTGCACAGTTTTTTGAGTATTTTGTTGAAGACTTTTTTTTGTCTGAGCTCATTAGGGATAATGGTCTGTATCAGGGTGATTTTTGTTGTTGTTTGGTCACCAAGTCATGTCCAACTCTTTTGAGACCCCATGGACTGTAGCCCACCAGGCTCCTCTGTCCTTGGGATTTCCCAGGCAATAACACCGGAGTGGGTTGCCATTTCCGTCTCTAAGGGATCTTCCCAATCCAGGGTTCAGATCCACACCTCTTGCATTGGCAGATGGTTTCTTACACACAGCCTCCAGGGAAGCCTGTAAATTGTAATAACCAAGATTTAATGTGTATACGTTTAAGTACCAAGCATTGGAATAAACGCTACCTAATTTAATCCTTACCCAAATTTTATAAGAGATGTACTACCATTAGCTCAACTTCTCTGTGAAGTTACTAAAGCACAAAGAAGTCAAACAACATCCCCCAGGTCACACAGCGTATCCAGGATTCAAACACAGAATCATATCCATTGTTTTTGCCTCACTGCTTGGTAAGTTTGATTCTTTTTTTTTTTTTTTTTGTAAGTTTGATTCTTAAAGGGAACAAAATACTGAATGTTGGTTGAAAAAGATGGTTGAGTTAGGAGATTTTTTTCCCTTCTCGAATAATAGAACATTTGGATATATTTAAAGTCAGTAGGAAAGGAATCTGCCAAGAGGGAGAAATAAGAGAAGGATGTTAGACAGGAAGGGTGTTTCTTCAGCGTCAGGGATGGCTGGGCTCGGAGCGTGGGGTCGCTGACTGCAGAGGCAGAGACAGAGCAGCTCCCCTGAGACCATCCCTGAGATTGCTCATGACACTTGGGAGGGGGCTAGATTGGCTGGAAGCAAGGTCTTTTGACAAAGGAACAAATGAAGGCATTTAGTGAAGGTGGTCGAGGGGTAAAAGCGTGCTGAGGAGGCCTGGATGAGGAGCCCGCAGGAGTCAGCCAAGTTCTGAGGCCAGACTGCTCCAGGCACTTCTGGGACCAGGCTACTCGGTTAACACACCCTCTCCAGGAGCACTCTGCAGTCCAGGAATGGGGCCCAGAGAATGGGGCAATGGGAGTGATGGGGGCAGTTGAAGAACGGGAGGGCAGCCCTGAATGACTGATGCTGGAGGGATGCACCCAGGGAGGTGTGGAGGTGCCTGGCAGAGGGAGACCCAGGTGGCAAGGGAGGAATCAGGTGAGACTGGGGGAGCAGGGTCATTGCAGGCAGTCTGTGGTTGGAAGAGATGAGAGGCAGGATGCGGGGGTCAGAGAGAGAGCAGAGATTTGGACTTTCAGTTCAGTTCAGTCGCTCAGTCGTGTCCGACTCTTTGCAATCCCATGAACTGCAGCACGCCAGGCCTCCCTGTCCATTACCAACTCCCAGAGTCCACCCAAACCCATGTCCATTGAGTCGGGGATGCCATCCAACCATCTTATCCTCTGTCGTCCTTTTCTCCTCCTGCTGTCAATCTTTCCCAGCATCAGGGTCTTTTCCAATGAGTCAGCTCTTCGCATCATAGAGAGCAGCAACCCACTCCAGTATTCTTGCCTGGAGGATCCTATGGACAGAGGAGCCTAGCGGGCTATAGTCCATAGGGTTGCAAAGAGTCAGCCACGACTGAGCCACTAAACAGAAGCAGCTCTGCTTGGTGTCAAGGAAACACGTGGGGAGGGGTAGGTCATGGAAGCGGAGCAGTGAGCTCTGGGCTTGTCACCAGACGTCCGCCTGGATGCTGTGAACTCTGAGGATATAGGGAACCGCTTCACAGCACTGAAGCAGATTCCTGCAAAGTGGTGGAGAGCGGGATGGGGAGTGGAAAAACTAGGAGAAGGGGACAGGGCCAGGACAGATGTCATGGCCCTCGGTGTCAAGGTGAGCAGGTAAGGAGCAAAGAGGTGATGTCAGGGGTGATGGAGGTGGCACAAGGGGGCACAGAGTAGGACGCTGTCCCCCCCCTCCCCCCCAGCCCTGTGAGGATGCGGAAAGGCAGAGATGAGCTAAGATCTGGGGCACGTCTTGCATGTCAGGCACAGAGCTTGGTCAGTATTAACCCTGATATGGTCATCTGCCCACATCTCTCTCTCCATTAACCGAGCAAGCATTCAACCCAGACTCTTTGGCTTTAAAGCCCTCAGTGTTTCCAGCAGTAAACCTTGGTGAAGCCCCCACAACAGGGGGGCAGGAACTACCCCTCAGAGAAAGCAGGTGGAGAAAACAGGCTGAGATTCTTGAATGGGGCTTTTGCTCCTGTCTCACCAGAGAGCCTTGCTAGTGGGAGGGAGGGTCCAGATGGGTTTCACGAGCTCAGTGGTAAAGATGTAGAAAGGAGACCAAGTAGAAGACCACGGTTCTCCACGCTGCAGACTGACTTGCCAGCCATGCTGACCTGATGCTTCCAGCTCAGGAGGGGCGGAGGAGAACAGAGGAGCCGGCCCAGCACTGCTCACTCCTGGGTCTGGGGTTAGCACGCCGTGGGGGGAGGAGAGAAGGTTCTGGGTGATCTAACTCTGCGCTCGGCTTCCTGTCTCCTCTGGATGACTTGCCGAGGGCTGAGGGAGTCCTCGGACTTGTATCAGAGCATGGCAGGCAGACTGGGAGCAGGCAAAGGGATGTTCTCCCCGGGCGTGTTAGTAATTTCGCTCTTTCTCCTTCCATCCAGGGAAGAGCCGTTATTAACAGAGCCACCAAACGTTGTCTGGAGATGACGAAGAACATTTGGGGTGGCTACACGCTTGTTCTCCAGGCCTGCACCGCCCAAGTGTGGACAATCCAGTACACTGTCCGAAACTGGGGGTCAGACTAAGGTCCAGGAATGCTCGGAGAACCTGGGTTCTTGCCACAGCTCCCAATGCTGCTCAAAACAGAAGGGGGAGAGAAAGTGCGTGTGCATGTGTGTGTGTTTACTGTAACTACAACTAGTACTATCCTGAAAGGTGCAAATCAACCAGTAATCTTAAAAAAAAAAAAAAGCCCTCCATCCAGCCAGCCCTCACCCCACAGCAGGTTTCTTTGGAAATCCCATCTCTCCCACAGGGTAGGGGGGACACACCTAACTAGCCAGTCCCACTCTGCCCAGTGCATGAAAACGGTGGAAAAAAACCCAAGCCCTTAATGGTCTTTCTCTAAGGAGCTTATCGAATTTAATAGGCTTGACTACTTGTTTCCTGCTACTATACTTGAAAATTATGGAGAAAATGAGGCTTGAAATAGAGGGGCATCACTTTATTGGGACACAAAGAAGGGATTGTAGGCAAATAACTAAGACCAGGGGCTCCTTACTGCTGTCCATTGGATAAATCCTTTCCTATAGCGGTGAGTGAGGCGGATCCGTCAGGGATGTCAGCTTCCATGAGGTCTTAGAGGCTGGTGGGAGTGGGTGTCGGGGTGGGAGAAGTAGAATGCTCTGTGTGTGCTATGTTGCTGGGCTTGCCTTTCAAGGACATCCTTTCATCTTTTCATGTCAGGGTTACCTGGGTGTGATTCTGGGAATCATCGGGCTTCCTTTAAGCATCAGGCAGACAAGACACTGATAATTTAGCACAGAATTAAATCAGCCCAGAGTTTTTCAAGTAACTTTTTATAAATGTACAAGTCATACATGTACAGCTTGATAAAATGTTTGCAGTGACCATATCAATATCAAGGACTAAAATGTTACCACCATCAGAGATTTTATGATGAAAAAACTGAAGAGGATAAATGTGAAGCAAATGTATAACTTCTAGCTTCTGCCTAGCACTTTGAAAGGAAAATTCAATTCATAGCCAAGTTTTTTTTCTTTAAAGCATGTGCCTAATATAAAAATGGGCAAAAGTCACAATATTCTTAAAAGAAAAAATGTTTAACCTCACTCATAGAGCAATGCAAGTTAAAACTGTACTGAAATAATTTTTCACTTAATGGTGAAAATTTTAAAGTATAATGGCACATTCTGGTCAGCAGGACTGGGGAAGTAGGCAATCTTATGTTTCGATGGTAGGGACGAAAACTGGTACAATGCTTTTGGGGGGATGTTTGGTATTATCTAAAAATATTATATGTGTACTTTCTATTTGTGCCACTAATTGCACCTCTAGAAATTCATAACTCCAAAAATGAGAAAATAGTTACGTACAAAATAATTCCTTGCAGTGTTGATTGCAATCGTAAAATGTTGGAAACAAACCATATACTGAAACATCAGAGAGCGGTTCACCTAGTGGGGTGCAGCTATAAGAAAGAATGAGGGTCATTTTTTGAATGGATATGGAGTGATTTCCAGTGTGAAAGAGGAAAAGCAACCTCTAAAGTTATGTGCCTTTTAGGCCAGGCTTCCCTTTCCTTCCCAAACTCCTGGAGTTTGCACAACTCACGCCCATCGAGTCAGTGGTGCCATCCAAACATCCAAACATCTCATTCTCTTTGCCCCCTTCTCCTTCTGCCCTAGTCTTTCGCAGCATCAGGGGCTTGGTCTTTTTCCCAAAATACAGAGCCTGATTCTATAATCTTCAGGGAATATCACTTAAACCCAAGCCGAGGGACATTCTTCAAAATAAATGGTCTTTATATTTCGTGACGTCAGTCATAAAGAACAAAGACCAACTGAGGAACTGCCCCAGAGTAAAGGAGATTAAAGCGACAGGACAGGCCTCTCTTGTTTGCACCTCCTGCTGCTCCTGGATTCTGGCACTTTTCCAAAGAAAGATGGGCCTGAGAGTGTGGTCAGGTGTCCGGGCCTGGTGGTCCCTTTTCTCCAGGCCCCAGCTGTCATCCACAGCAGCCTTGAGCATCCCAGTGCTCTTTAGGACAAGCAACTTCCTCATCTGTGCAAAACCTGAGATAAAGGGCCAAGGTCTGGAACATAACAAGCTGAGATTTTACCAACTCCAAAGCTAATCTCCTCAATAGTCACTTTATTTTCCTTGCAATCCATTTTTACAATAGGAAATGTGCTTTTAGCTAATTTCCTAATTTTAAGGAAATTTGTAAAGTCCTTTTCTTTAAAAAAATAAATTTATCTTCGGTGTGGGGGTCCTCCTGTGGCTTGTGGGCTTTCTCTCGTTGCGGAAGCAGGGGATACTCTCTAATTGCTGTGTGTAGGCTTCTCATTGCAGTGGCTTCTCTCATTGCAGTTCATGGTCTCCAGAGGGCAGGCTCAGTAGCTGTGGCATACAGGCTTCACTGCCCTGTGACATGTGGGATCTTCCCAGACTCAGGGATTGAACCAGTGTTCCCTGCATTGCAAGGCAGATTCTTAACCACTGGACTACTGGGGAAGCCCCATAAAGTCCTTTTATAAAGATTAAGTGGAATAGAGTTAGGCCAGTAACGTCCTGGCAAAGATTGAAGGCAGGAGGAGAAGGGGACGACAGAGGATGAGATGGTTGGGTGGCATCACCAACTCACTGGACATGAGTTCGAGTAAGCTCCGGGAGTTGGTGATGGACAGGGAGGCCTGGCGTGCTGCATTGTCCATGGGGTTGCAAAGAGTCGGACATGACTGAGTGACTGAACTGAATGAGTAATATCCTGGTGAAAAATTATCACTAGAACTGGTAAATAAATCAGCTTCTCATGACTTTAAGTTGTTATAATTTTAAAAAACATGGCTTGTTCCCCTGCCACAAACACTTTGACAAGTATAGTTCAAAGAGCAGAACTGTGTCAAGATTTCAAGTCTACTGTCCTTGAAACTATAAAAATCAAATCTCTCAATATTACCAGAAAGTTGTTCGGCTTTCCTAACAAAGAGCTTTAGGCAGAAACTCAACTTTATGACAAAGAAGAAATAGGTGTAGTTTTCATTTTATTTGATATAAACCGTTGTGTCAGTATTTCCCTAATATTTTCCTTCTTTCTTTGACAAGTCATCACAGTTAAGTCAGTACTTGTCTTTTCCAAGTACCTTGTCAGTCTTCTTCTTTCTTTAAATTTTCTTCACTAGCTACTAAATGAAGCGGGGGGGCTGCTGTTTCTATGTTTTCCTTTGTTGTTTAGTCGCGAAGTCATGTCCGACTCTATGTGACCCCATGGACTATAGTCCACCAGGCCCCTCTGTCCATGGGATTCTCCAGGCAAGAATACTGGAGTGGGTTGCCATTTGCTTCTCAGGGGATCTTCCTGACCCAGGGATTGAACCTGGGTTTCCTGCACTGGCAGGCAGAGTCTTTAGCACTGAGCCACCAGGAAAGCCAATATGTTTTCTAGCCAAGGCTAAATTGAAGAAGACAGGCTTATGGGTTCCTGTTTTCACAGGTGATTTGTCCTGAGGCTGGACTGCAGCCCCAAGTCCCAGTTCCTTCCCTTCCCCATCAAGCTACCTACTTGGCTTCCAGGGGCCCTGATCATGGCCCATCCCCACCAGACCTGCAGCTCATACTTGGAAGAATTGCTTGGGAAATTTCTGTGTTTTTCCAAATTTCAAATTTCGAGGAAAACCAGGGGAGAAGTTAGGAAAACAAGAAAAAATTATTATTCTCCTTTGAGAATGAAAACTTTGCAAGTAACACAGAGATGTTACTGCTCTGAAGGAATCCACTGACGTGCGATGGAACATGAGTGCAGGAGATGCTGACACAGAGTCCAGGGTTAAGGGTGATAGTTTTGGAAACCGGGACAGGAACACCCGGAAGAAAAGCAGTGATGATTAACCAGCTGGTCTTCCAAGCTATAGCTACAGCCATGTTAGAAGTGTGTGTCTGTGACCTGCCTGTCTCTAATGGTGAGTGACTGTTGCAAATAAAATAATAACTAATACATTTTATTAATTTATTAATACATTTTGTGCATTGTATGCTTTCCACGAATCTTATGAATAGTGTTCCAAGAAATAATAAATTTTGGAAGCAAAACACATTTTAAAAAGAGCGATTTCAATGTATGATTCTCACTAGTGCTGTTAACTATTAATGTCTCACTGGGAGATCTGAATGTTACATTATAATGCACCATGATGTTTGCTGGTATTTATTTTAAAGATTTTTTTTATTGGACCATTCTTAAAGTCTTCATTGAATTTGTTACAATATTGCTTCTGTTTTATGCATTTTGGCCAGAGGCATGTGGGCTCTTAGCTCCCCAATCAGGGATCAAACCTGAATCCCCTGCATTGGAAGGAGAAGTTCCACCCACCAGGGCATCCTGCTGGTGTTTTCTAGTGTTTGAATATTTGCTATAGACTCTAGTGTTCATAAATGCAACTACAATTAATATTTTTTTTGTATATAATTGTTAGATATCCATAAGTAAAGAAAATAATTAATCTTAGAAATAATTAAAGAATAACTTGGGCTTCCCTGGTGGCTCAGATGGTAAAGAATCTGCCTGCAGTACAGAAGACCCAGGGATAAAACCTGGGTCAGGAAGACCCCCCAGAGAAAAGCATGGCAATCCAAGTATTCTTGCCTGGAGAATTCCATGGACAGAGGAGCCTGGTGGGCTGCAGTCCATGGGGTCGCAAAGAGCAACTAACGTGACTGAGGCACTAACACACAATAACTTATGATTTGGGGTGTTACTGAAAATTCCCCCAAATTCTAATTTTTGTTCCTGAACCCTAAAGATTGTACCTGTTGATAAACTGTTGGGGATAATACCTTAACAGCGCTGGAAACTGCCAGGTGGTTTCCCCTAATTTACTGCCCAGGGTTTTCATTAAATAGTCAGTCAAACTGGGTTTCTCAGGATTTCCTCTTAAAAAAACTGTTCTTTTTCACCAAATTCTTTTGGCCATATTTTTTAAAATCCACTTCATTGAGGAGTGACTGATATGTACACATTTAACGCACACAGTTTAATGAGTCTGGGGACAAGTGTCACCCGGGAACCCATCCCTCCTTATCAAGAGCACAGATAACCATCACCTCCTAAAGTTTCCTTTGGCCATTACTATATTATTAGCACATGCACCATAAGTGTTATCCTCTTAGGAAAATTTTTAAGTGTAAAATATAGAATTATTGGTACTCCACCAAGAGGTCCAGCAATTAGGACTGGGTTTAATCCCTTGTGGAGGAACTAAGATCCCACATGCCCCCCAAAATTTTTAAAAATGCAGAATGATTAGCCATAGACACTAGACTATAGAGGAGAACCCAGAGCTCACTCATCTTGCATCTTTATACCCATTGACCATCCTCTCCCTATGTCCCCCTTCCCTGACCCATGGCATCCACCATTCTACTCTCTACCTCTATAAATTTAGTTAGTTTTAGAAAACTAACCTATGA